TTTTTTTTTTTTTTTTTTTTTTTTTCCTGTCGTTTTGTTTCAGTGAAGGGCTGGAATTGTTCAAGCATTTCGTTTATTGCCAAAGAGAGCCGTTGGAGGACTGCTCCCACAGCTCTGCTTCATTACAGAACAGGTTTTTCAGGGTCAGCAGGAGGCAGCCAGGAGGAGGTGTGTGACAGGGATCTTAAAGCCAATGGCACTGCTGCACCCAAGCGAGCAGCACCAACATCCATCATATCATAGAATCATAGAATCCCAGCATGGCCTGAGTTGCAAAGGCCCACAGCGCTCCTCCAGTCCCAACCCCCTGCTGTGTGCAGGTCGCCAACCAGCAGCCCAGGCTGCCCAGAGCCACATCCAGCCTGGCCTTGAATGCCTGCAGGGATGGGGCATCCACAGCCTCCTTGGGCAACCTGTGCCAGTGCCTCACCGCCCTCTGGGTGACAGTGCTGTGGCTCTGAGGGACATGGCCGGCGGGTGCAGTGCAGGAAGGGACCCCGGAGGCCGTCAGCGCAGGCCTGCAGCGCACAGCACACCGCAGCTCCTCAGTGCTCAGAGCCCCGTCCCCTGGCCTTGGCTGCGTGCAGGACGGGGCAGCAGCACCTCTGGGCACCCTGTGCAGCGCCTCACCGCCTCACCGCCAGCGGCTCCTTCCTTACATCCACCGAAATCTGCCCTCCTTGGCTCCGAACCCTTCGCCCTCGTCCCGGCACGCGGACCCCGATGAGAGTCTGCCCTTCTCTCATACAGCCCTGCAGGCACCGCAGGCCGCTCTCAGCTCTCCCCGCTCCTTCTGCTCTCCAGCAGCACAGCCCGGCTCTCAGCCCAGCTCTCAGCCCGTCCTCGCAGGGAGCTGCTCCATCACGGATCACCCTCTGCTGGAGCTGGCGGCGTGCCGGGATCCTGCTGACGCCGTCGGCTGGGCCCGAGCCGCCACGGCAGCGAGGGCGGTGCCGCGGGGCAGACGGCGGACGGTTCCCATGGCCGCCGATGGACGCGCTCAGCCCCGCGCCGGCCGCTGCACGCAGCATGACGGAGCTGCACCAGGCCGTGGCCGCGGGGCGCCGCGGGCGGGCGGAGCGGCTGCTGCGGGCGGAGAGCTGCGATCCCAACAGTAAGGACGCGGACTGGGCCGACTGGACCCCGCTGCACTGGGCTGCTGCCAGGGGTAAGGGCAGCGACTGCTGCGGTGGCAGCGAGCGCCGGCACCGCGAGCGCCGGAGCCCCGCGTCCCCTTCCGGCGCTTAAAGCGGGAGGGAAACTGCTCTTTACGCCTCAGAGCTGGGGGCAGCCAGCCCGTGGCATTGGGGGGGGAGGTGCCTTGCGACCCAAATCGCTGTGGGCTCCTGTTCTGTTGTATGATTCACGTCCCACATGCACAGGGGCTGTTTGAAAGAGCAGTTGAGGCTGTGGAGGTGCGGAGCCCTCACTGTGCGTCTCTTCCCCCTCCGCAGGGCACGTGGCGATGCTGCGCCTGCTGCTGGCCCACGGCGCCCGGCCGTGCCTGCGCAACGCTGCAGGATGGACCGCAGCCCACTGCGCGGCCGAGGCGGGGCGGCTGGCGGCGCTGCGCACCCTGCACGCCGCGCACGCCCCCATGGACGCGGCCGACCCGTTTGGGGACACCCCCAGGAGGCTGGCGCAGATCTACGGGCACACCGAGTGCGTCACGTTCCTGGAGATGTGAGTGCCGCGGAGTCTGAGAGCACGGCGTCGCAGCAGCGCTGCCTTGGAGGGGTCCTCACAGCGCCCAGCCCCAGATCCGTGGGCCGGGTGCCCCCAGCTCCGGCTGCCCAGGGCCCATTCGTGGCTTCGGGCACGTCCAGGGATGGGCACCACAGCTCTTGGCGGTGCCAGCACCTCACTGCTCACAGTAAAAAAGTTCCCCCTGACATCTAATCTAAATCTCCCCGCCTTCGGTTTGAAATCGTTCCCTCTCTCAGCTGAGCTATGCTCGCTGATTTGGCGAGTATATTTTTATCTGTGCAAAAGCAATTTAAAATAGATCTGAAGGCTCAGCCCTGTCTCATGTTGCACACGTGCTCCAGGCCTCAGTGGGGCAGTGCTGGCAGCACCAAGCGGCATGCTGGCCCATAGCTCCTGGCTGTGCCCCTTGGCACTGCTGGGACACCTGCAGAGCACCCCGAGGGGCTGGGAGGGGATGGAGGGGGGCTGGGATGGCACTGATGGGCGGTGCACTGCCTCAGGGCTGGGGGTTGGATGGGAGGGTTGGATGGGGGTTGGATGAGGGATTGGATGAGGGATTGGATACGGGTTGGATTAGGCATTGGAGGTGGGTTGGATGGGGGTTGGCATGGTGGGTTTCTGGGAGTTGGATAAAAGTTGGATGGAGGTTGGATGATGGTTGGCACGGGAAGTTGGATGGAGGTTGGATAGGGGGGTTGGATGGGAGGTTGAATGGGGATCGGCTGGGGGTTGGCAAGGGGGGTTGGATGGAAGTTGGATGGGAGCTGGATGAGGGGCTGGTGGGGGGTTGCTGGGATGATTGCCAGGTCAGTTGTAGTGATGGAAGAGGTAACTGAGTGGATAGCTGACAAGGTGTTTGACAAGATGACTGACAGGGTGGGTGACATGATTGATGTGATGATTGACATGGTGATTGACATCCAGCACAATGCACTGATGAGCACAGAGGCAACAGCCTAAGGCGTGCAACTGCTGAGTGGTATTTTGAGGTGAATGACAAATTTGAGGTGGAGGAGGCGAGCAGCCATGTTTCAGAGCTGGCTGGCTCTGGATGAGCAGTGGCTGTAGCTGCAGCACAGCGTGGGGCTGTGTGTGGGGTCCAGTGCTGCACAGTGCAGATCTGTCCTCTGGTCACAGCCTTGGCTGCTCTGGGATGTAAATGGGAGGGATATTGTGTTACATGGAGTCCCTGTCAGGATGGATATTTGCCTGCCAGGCAAAAAGGTGCTAGAAAAGACATTTTTAAAGTAACAGGCAGAGGGGCTGTGCCCAAAGCAGGGCTGAAAGGCATCGCTAAGAGCCACAGAGGGGGGGGGTCAGGTCAGATGTTGGAAGAAATGAAGAAATGCTTTACCCAGAGGCAGTGAGAGCCTGGCACTGCCCAGAGCTGTGGGTGCCTGAGGCCACAGCTGGGCTCCGAACTGATGGGCAAGAGTGGGGCTGGGGACTGAGAGGTTCCTTCTGACCCAACCAAGCTGAGCTTTTGTGATTGCATGAGCACCCAAACCCTTTGTCAGCCCCAGCTCAGCCCTTTCCTCCCCCACCAGCCCCTCATGCAGGCGCAGTGTAGTTTGCATAGACATGCAAAGCATTGAAACCCTACAAACGCTGAGTGACCTCTGAATAACAAACATGGAATTTGCATCAGATTTCTTTATATTTTCTGCACCGGTGTGGCTGAGGACTCGCAGGTGACCTAAATGGGAGATGAGCTGACAGGTGACCTCACTGCTCCCTGCAGCTTCCTGAGGAGGGCAGTGTGGGAGCTGCAAATCTCTGCCCCAGGAATCCCACAGCAAAGCGTGTTTATTTCCAGGTTGCCAACTTGTTCAGCGTCATTCAGTGTAGATGTGGGCAAAAATCTGAGAACTTCTATAAATGGCAGCTGCTGCTTCCCTGTTGAGTTGGGTTCGGGGTCTGAACTGCACAGATCCTCCCTGCGGGTTCCCACCTCCATCAGGCTGAGTGCCTGGGCTGCCACGCTGGGGCGGTGGGGTGGGCTGGGGGTTTCTCATGGGTTGCTGCTGCTGATGTGTTGACCGTGCCAACACACAGTCCTGTTTCCATGGACGTGCTGTGACTGAGCTGTGCTCGGGGATTGAAGATAAACTTCCTTTGTTCCCCAGAGCAGAGGTGGAGAGCAGAAACTACCGCCAGACAGCAGCGATGAGGGGAATGCCCTTGGACCAGGTGGATGAAGACTGGGAACTCAAGAAGGAGGAGCTGGAGAGAAACCCACCATGTGCCCAGCGCAGCTATGCAACCTCTGCACAGAAGACGACGCAGAGGAAGAGAAGGAAGCAGTAGTGTCACTGTGTGTTTGGGGCTGCTGGAACTCACAGTGCAGAGTAGAGGCACTGAGTATCTCAGGGGAAACCTGGGTAGGCAGCAGCAGAGATGGGTGCCGAGATGAGCCTCTGTGATGTGCTGCACATGCTGTTGTGGTCATGGGGTGGGTAGGAGTGCTTCTGCCTGCCCTGTATGCATCAGGTCTCAAATATCAGAATCACAGAATGGTTTGGGTTGGAAGGGACTCCAAGGATCACGAAGCTCCAACCCCCCTGTGCCATGCAGGGCCACCAACCTCCCCATTTCATAGCAGCCCAGGCTGCCCAGGGCCCCATCCAACCTGGCCTTGAACACCTCCAGGGATGGACGGGGCATCACAGCCTCTCTGGGCAGCTGTTCCAGCACCTCACCACTCTCTCCATAAAGAACTTTATGAATATTGCAGAAGGTGCTTAAATATACAAATGCTCTAATTCACCTAATTATATGCAAATGTATAGAAATGAAATTCACTGCACTCACCCATGTTGCATGGGAGTGAAATCCTTTTGTTCCCAACTGGCTCAGGGACATCACTGTGGTGATGCCAGTGCCCTTTCTGTGTTTGCTTCCAGCCCCAAGCCACCTGGGGGTCTAGGGGTTCATAGCCTTACTGCTGCCTCTCTTTTCCCTGCAGTGGGACAGAGCTGCTCCTGCTGAGGGGTGATGTGACACAGCTTATCAGGAGCAAGGAGCATAATGGGGCCTTTTGTGAAAGCGTTGTGCTAAAGCAGCAACTACAGGAGCACAAGCAGGGAAGGAAGGGAGCTATGGTGTCTGTTCTGTGAGCGTCATGTAGCAGCAAGGGGGTCCAGATGGCACTGAAGACCTGCCTCTCTCAGGGCATGTGGCTGGTGCATAGCATGTCCCATTGGCAGAGTGGGACCCAGCAGAGTTTGGCAGCTCATCTGGACCTGATCTGGTCAAAGCCATGAACGATTCAGGTTCTGCTCTGTGCTGGATCTGTTTGCTGTGTAGCCAGTTGCATGGCTGCTGGCAGACTCCTGCTCTGCTCTCTCCCAGTGCCCCTTCATTGCAGCCCGGGGGAAAAAAATGGGATGGAAGAGCACCTGGATTGAGATAACAGCAGGGAGATCAATTGCAACCACTGACAATAAATGTTGGCCTTGGGAAAATTGATTTATTGCCATTAAGAAAACAGAGTGGGATAGCGATAAACAAAGACGAAACTAAAATACCTTTCCACATGTCACCCCTCTTCCCAGGCTCAACTTTCCCCCTTCATTCCCAGCTCTTTGACCTCCTCCCCTCTGAGTGACACAGGGGTGGGCAGTGGGGCTCACGCCTCCTCACACCTCCCCTGCTCCAGTGTTGGCCCCTGCCTGGCTGCATCCTTTCGGAATAAGCTTCAGCATTGGCTCTGCATGGGCTGCAGCACCAACTGGCTGCTGCTGGGCTCACTGTGCCCTGCTGTGGGGCTGTGGGACCCGTTACTCGTTTTCCTAAATGTAAAACACATTCACAATGTAAAAAACATTTAGGTGTGGTAATAAGGGACATGTTTAATAGGGTGATATTAGTGGTGGGTGGATGGTTGGACTGGATGATTTTGGAGGTCTTTCCCAACCTTGGTGATTCTGTGATTCATAGAATCCCAGAACAGCCTGGGATGCAAAGGAGCACAATGCTCATCCAGTCCCAACCCCTGCTGTGTGCAGGTCGCCAACCAGCAGCCCAGGCTGCCCAGAGCCACATCCAGCCTGGCCTTGAATGCCTGCAGGGATGGGGCATCCACAGCCTCCTTGGGCAGCCTGTTCTGTGATTCCTGAGTGTTTTACAGAGCCAGAGTCCACTGCTGGAACCAGGCCTAGTAACATGGCAGCAGCAGATGGAAGTGTCACCAAATCACAGGACCGCATTGCTTGGCTACTGACAATAGCTTATCTCAAAGAATTACTCAGATCAAGTGATAACAATAATTAATTCAATTCACAAGAACTTTATTCAGTGATTTGTTTTACTTTAAAAGGAGAAGGTAGAAGACCTGTATCACCCGCAGTGTGCTGAGGACTCCGTTGGAGATGGCAGGACCTGAACTGAAGAACAAAGCGTCGATGTTTTGGTGGGCTGCCTGGTGCAGTCCTTGCACTTTGCACAAGGCAGAAACCTTAGCACTATCCTTTCCAGTTTGGGATTGCTAAAAATGAGAATAAGGGAATGAACGACTGGAAAAGCGTATTGAAGGACCAAAAGGAGTAACGTCAGGAGGTTATTGTTATTGTTGTAATACACTGTTGACATCAAGATGATGTAATTAATGCAGTAGAAGAAGAAGAAGGACAGAAGGGATTTCATGGCTTTGATGTGGGCGTCCATGCTGAGGCTCCTGGCAGAGCTGGTCTGCATCCTGTGCTTGTGTCTGCAGAGGGAGAAGAGGAGGAGGAAGGCAGAGCAGGTTACCATTATGAACGCCATGGAAAACCCAAGTGTGCAGATAAAAACTATAGTGCGAAAATGTTCCCTTATTTCTTTGTTCACTTCCCAGAAAATCCCGTGGTTGGTGAAATTGATGTTCTTTTCATCAGTAACTTTGAGGAAAGGGCTGCAGTTGAGCAGGGACAGAACCACAGAGCTCAGCAGCAGCCATGGCACAATCCTGTCGATTTTGGCTTTCAGGTAGGTGAAGAAACGGTGCCTGAAATTTGCGATTTTTATACAGTAAAAAGCATAGAGGCAGGAAGAAGTCCAAAAGTTGGAAGAATTTAAAAAGCACAGAAAAATTGCAAAGGCGAGAGGCATGCCTGTGCCTAAAAGATGCTGGGGAAATAACATTGAAATAAAGAGGTATATCCATGAGGTGCACAAGTACCAAAACCTGAAGGCGCCCAGAAACAGCAAGATCTTCTCATTAGAGTTCATGCTTTTCTTTTTGAACCACTCCATGCAAGATGCAGCCACAAGGAAGGAATTGATGCACATGCCAGCCAGCACCTGGAGGGTGAAGACGACCAGGAAAGCGTTACCGGGTAAAGTTCTGTTGTACCAGTGCTGCTCTGCCATCCTGCACCGGGGGCAGCTCTTCTGTGCCGGAGCTGAGGTTAGCTGGGATGTGTGTCCGTGTGAGGAAATGGAGCTTTATAGGGCTGGGGGGGACCTCAGTGCTGCTCCCACCCAGAGCAGTGCAGGTGCTGGGATGTAAATGTGCCAGGTATCCCCTTACCCAGCAGCGGTGTCAGCCTTCAGCATTTGAATTTCAGCTCATAACAGGCAGGCTGTGTGAAACTCTGTCGGGCAAAGTTCCTCTAGGTTTGGGTTTGAGAGGAGCCTGGCATGCTGAGAGCAGTTACCGACCAGATGGCAGCTGATGCTGTGCTGTAAATCTCAACAACCTGCCATCTAGCTATGAGAAGGAAGCTGGCAGCTCTTCCTCTCTGCACCTGTTTCCTGGGGGCTATAAATTCTCCCTGAATATCACTGTTGCAAGCTCCTATTTGCATTTTTTGTCACCGAAGGACTAGTTAGAGCATTAGCATGTTGAAATGCTGTGCAGAAGGCTTGGGGTTCATCTCAACAACAGAGCACGTTCCCGTAACTCTGTGCTGGTGATGCAGTAAGCAGACCTTGCATTCCCTCAAGCTGCCATCTCTAAGCCCTTTCTTTGGCAGAGAGCACTGCTCCTGTCCCAGAGCTGCTGGCATCACTCAGGATGGTGCTGGAGGGCATGTGAGCAGACAGGAGGAGCAGGGTTTGTCTCTGGAGAAGTCATAGAAATCCTAAACTGTTCCATAGCTCCTGATTCCTACAAGGGTTCCTGTACTGAGAGTGGCTATGAAATGGCCGTGCAGGCCACTGTCAAAGTTCTGTGCTGTGAGAGTGGTGAGGTGCTGAACAGCTGCCCAGAGAGGCTGTGATGCCCCGTCCATCCCTGGAGGTGTTCAAGGCCAGGTTGGATGGGGCCCTGGGCAGCCTGGGCTGCTGTGAAATGGGGAGGTTGGTGGCCCTGCATGGCACAGGGGGGTTGGAGCTTCGTGATCCTTGAGGTCCCTTCCACCCCTGGCCATTCTGTGATTCAGGCTGTGTGCCAGGTCGGTGTATGGCTGTGTCCTTTAAGATTGTTATCTGCTCAGCATTTCAAGGTTCAGCTTCAGAATCACAGAATCACAGACCTGTTGAAGAAGACCTCCAAGGTCGTGCAGCCCAACCCTCACCAGCACCACCATTTCCCACCGAACCACATCCCTCAGTACCACCTACACACAGCTCTGAAGCACCTCCAGGGCAGTGACCACTGGGCAGCCCATTCCAGTGCCTTTTTGATGATTTCTGCCTGTCAGTACTTCCAAAGGCTGATCAGAGCAGGACGTGCTGTGTGCACAGGCAGGTGGCACTGATCAACCTCTGGAATGGACTCCTGGAGGAGATGCTGCTTAACAGCACTGATTCCTGTGCCTCTATGGTTTTCCCATCCATGCCCTCACGTTCTTTCTTGGGTCCATGAGGAGCTGGCACTGCAATTATCTGCCAGTTTGGAACTGTGCAGTCTACGTTTCAGACCCCAAACTCTTTTGAAGCCAGAGGTGAGGATGCAGTGTTTTCAGGTTATTGGAAGACTGTCAGTCATCAGGTGGGGAATTACACCAAGCCGTGTCAGTGACTGACCTGGGTGTGTGACTTGTTTGGGTAGCTGAGCAGGAGGATGCAGGCAGCTGAGAAAGGACATGGCTGAAGAAAGCTCAGGGAAGTCAGGGCAGTAAGCGTAGTGCTGAGTTCAACTTGTTCAACTGCTCCTAGGGGGGAGCATCCTCTGGGCTGAACCAAACCCACACCAACACCACATTCTTATGCGACACAGTTCACAGAGCCCTCGGCAGCAGCTCTCATTCAGCTTCTGCTTTCCGGTTTGTGCTCATCTGAAGGAAGCTGCTTGGTTTCACACAACTGGTGGCCAAGATATGAATCTTAAGCACCTTCAGTTCTACCCCAGGGCTTCAGTGACATTTTACCCTGGGACAGTCTCATTTCCTGGCAGCGGCTGTGATCTGCTTTATGTTCTGGGGCATGTTGTCTCACTGTGCTGACAGAGCAGATTTTTTGTCTTCTCTTCATACATCTGTGGGGAGAACATGAATCATTTTTGGGGAGGAAGTTTTTCATGCAGAGGGTGGTGAGGCACTGGCACAGGTTGCCCAAGGAGGCTGTGGATGCCCCATCCCTGCAGGCATTCAAGGCCAGGCTGGATGTGGCTCTGGGCAGCCTGGGCTGCTGGTTGGTGACCTGCAC